TGTCAGGAACTCTTTGGCGGACAACGCAAGGAATGCACTATCTTTCCGACTATCACGAATCTTTATAATCAAGGTTGCCTATATGTGGCGACGAACTTTATAAGAGATCATGCGGCAGTAATTGGAGGCACATCCATAGCGGTGGCTATACTCATGGTATACACTATCGACTGGTTTTCCTTACAGATTTTTATAATAAGTTTCCTTACAGATCTTTGGCATGATTTTCTCTTGTTTGTTATTTAACATGATTGAATAGCCTAACATAGAAAGGATGGCAAGGGCAACGCCATTTATAAATGTATTGCATAATGTAAACTTAAAGTATTATCCCAGTGTATGCTATATAAGACCTGTTACGCAAAAGTCGTTGCTTTTGTACTATGTTTATCTTATATCCCGAATTAAGTGTATACTATCTTAATGTATGCTAAGTGGCTTGTCAATTTTTTGTGCCTGTTATCTGTTACATAATATTGAACCATCTTTGTTATATTTTGTTATGATTTAAGTCCCAAAAATACAAACGACAAAAATTGATTCAGTTATTAACTATTCCTATTGCTTGTGAAGACTTAAAGAGCTGACCTATTATTTGTTGCCATATTTAATTTTCAATCTTTATTATTATACTTATATTGTAAGCTGCTTTGTTTTTAAAACAGACTTCTGTCTTCAGCTTCAAATAGAATAGTTCATATGGGTTGGGTTAACTAACTTTATTATTTACAGTTGACCATGACTATACAAATCGAAAACGATCTTTGAACTAACAGTCACAATTTCATTTTTAATAATTATACAAGTACTGTGGCGTGTAATTGCGTCATCTGATAGTTATCTACATTCGCTATTCACCTTAATGAGTAAGCTTTTTATTGACTCAAATTGCTTTATAATCAGTGTTACCACAAAAAAGCCCTCTGTTTTTCGATAAATTTTTCACTGTTCAATCATTGTAATCTTCTGTTTATTTTCTTAAGGAATTTAACTCGTTTTAAAAAATGTTATATTATAATAGTCTATTTATCATACACGTCGTCAGTTAGTCTTTAATTATTCCTCGGTAATAACCTCCAAATAATAACAGACACCATACTCGACACCAAATATAATCGATCAGATTAAATAAACGGCAATAGGCATAGGCGTAAGCGCACGGTTGATTCGATTCACCTTGTTTTTAATTGGTTGCTACCTTAAAATGCTCTTTGTTTAGATCACTTAATACTTTTGTACACAACACCATTTACTATATTTATCATCTATTCGACGCCTCATACTTCACTTTCCTCCACCAAAATCCGAACTTTTACTAACTATGCATCTATTATTTGCTCTGTTTATAAATATATTAATTCTTCGCCTCTATTTGTAAAAACTGCAATGAAGATTCCTAAGAAAACCCAAACTCATTCATCACTATGGCTATCACTACGGTAAACCTTAAGGCTTTCCATTGGTTATCACTATATGTACAGTGGTTAACTATACACTGTTAACTGTATCTAATGCAGTATAATCTGGCATATACATATGCATATCATATACACGGATAAAACACATAAATATACATATATAGTGTAAAATGTGTGCAGAAATAGGGTCGGAAACTTCATGGCCAAGATGTCTAATCGGCGACTGTGAGAACGCCGCTTGACCAAATATTAGGCCTATGCAAATCGAACACAAGACAGCTTTGAGAGCCATTATGTATCAAAAAACATAACAGTCTGCCCTCTGTGCACATTGACATATACATATGAATGTACGCTTGCCTTCATAGCCGTCCTATAGGTTTAGGCAATTTATATTTTCTACAATAAAGGTATTTTCTCTAAGATGTAAGTCCTATAATTTGGATTACCTAATGTGGTGGGGCCAATTCAATTGGCAAGTTGTCTCATTACATATTATTGTTTTTCATTAATAACATTTTTGATACAAATTCCGAAGTATAGTCCTACACAGTTAGCTAGCAGTACTAATGTCTGTCAATGTTGTTTTATTCTTTAATGAAATTACCAAAGGACCTGATGATAGTTTTTTACTCTTTGGATAAAATGTCAACCAGCCTGCCATTGTTCTCTTAGATTACAAAATCCGTTATATTCTCAACAATTAGTTTCATAAGTTGCTTTACAGTCGTTACCGTTAAATTATTTATTTTCTTGGTAAGTCCTATTTGGTCCTTTCTTTTCCTAACTTCCTGGATGGTTTAAATTTAAAATTGTTCTGTCCTGATCTTGAATTATGGAGCTCAAAATTACCATATACCATATACCACTATCCATATTACATCAGCTATGAATCCATTAAATATCTAGTAACTACGCGTAAATATCGTGTGTCCTTCTTAATGCTGTTTCTCTGTCTGGTTACTGAAAATCTTTTTGATTAGCCTTTTTAGTCGAACGTTTTCTTTGAGTTTGCATTACGATTTCTATAAAACTAAAGATACCGTTAAACCGTTACTGGTTGCTTCAATTATAAATATTAAATTAATATTTTTTAAATATTATATCACGACAGGATGAACATTTTCGAGTTTTGAAAATCTACAATACAGTTCTTCTTTGTGCCCGAATCGTCTGTAATTTTGTATGAGTTCTAGTTTAAAGTTACCTTCCTATATATGAGACCACTGTCACATACACAAAATTTAGCTTTGCACTTGAATTTGGTCTGTATATGCAACTGCAAAGTTTGTCAGCTTATTACAATTATTGTTACACAATATTTGTGATTTTTATTTACGAAAGACATGTTCCAGAGTGTGCCGTGCATCGCTCAGCTAATGCAGGTAAGTGCAATGCTTCTAGGTAAGTTGCTGGATAAGTTAAACGTCGGATTACCTCAGCTCCGGTTATAAAGTTGTTAGAAAATAATAAGAATTAGAATTTGAATTTTTATACCCTGAACCCATTAAAAATGGGTAAAAAGGGTATATTGTATTTGTGCAAATTTCAAATGTATGTAACAGGCAGAAGGAAGCATCTCTGACCCCATAAAGTATATATATTCTTGATCAGCATCAATAGCCGATCTAGCCATGTCTGTCTGTCTGTCTGTCCGTCTGTCCGTATATATGAACGCAAGAATCTCAGAACCTATACGAGCTAGAGACTTGAAATTTTAGATGTAGGTGCTCCTAGTGCCTGTGCAGATCGCAGCAATCGTTTCCAAGCAATCGATAAAAATCGATGTCGATATCATGTTTTTTGGGCAATTTTGGTAAATAATTAGAGCTAGAGTCACCATGAAGGAGCTCCCGACTAGAACCTGTTACTTATTTTATCATGAATAATTAATTATTAGTGTGGATGCTGAGTAGAGGCATAGCAAGTGGTGCGGTCTGTCGCGTGTTCGAGCCCTACCGGGGAAAGTATTTTTCCTTTTTGCTGGTGTGGATGTTGAGTAGAGTCGACAGCAAGTAATGCCGTGAGTTGCGATTTCGAACCCTACCAAGGGAACTTTTTTTTAAATTTATTTGGTGTTGGAATAAGAGGGTTCAGGGTATTCGCTAGTCGGGAGCTCCCGACTAGGACCTCCTGCTTGTTTCAATTCACTTCGTTTATTGTTATTATAGCTTTTGGAATAAAGGCCCTTCCAAATTACTCGATGCGAGGTACCGAGGTTGCAAAACACAACATCCGATTGCCGCAGCTACTTCTGCCGTTGCCCAAAATTCAAAGACAGCTTCAGCAAATTTTCTATTAGAAGAGACAACAAAATAAAAAATCGACTCGACAATGATTGAGAAATAGACAACATCCGGTTCAGTCCTCGCTATCCCTCTTTGTTTTGGGCTTCTGCCCATTTAACTCATTCATCATTTTTTCTATGCATTACTATACCTGTGATTTGCAGTCACAAAATTATGTCTTCTTCTTCTCCACTCGATGCCCACTTGCAAGGAGCCCGGCAGATTTTGATAATTTTTCATTTTTGGAACAGTAAAGCGCACTTTCTCAAAATAGGATACATATTTTACTTTTGATCACTATTGTAACCAAAGAGCATTAACCTTCTAATATAACAATTTTCTTTGATTGTCAGTAAAATATATATTGTATTAATTGTGCATCTATTGGTACAATCATTAATTATTGTTTCCCTTAAACATTATATACTATTACTGTAGATACATACGGGTACCTATGCCTCGAGACGACAGTTTGATGTTGGCAAATATGTCTCAATATATATATATAAGCTAATTACTTAAGAATTATTCGTAAAAGGTGAATAACTTAAAACTAATTGTTGGTAGGGTATCATATATTTCTATACATTTGCAGAGGGTATTATAATTTTGTCGTTAAATGTGTAACGCATAGAAGGAGACATCTCCGACCCCATAAAGTATATGTCGGAGAATTAATGTCATCTACCTGCGGGTCGTCATTATTGGTCGCTTGGTCGCACGGATTCTGGTGTTCCATACTCAGTCCTGGCGAATGCAGCGAGTTTTCGTTGCCTTTGTTGCTCATTATTCTCTTAAATACGCACACGTGACCAACTCACGTTACGCCGGAAACACAGGACAGCCACAAGAGAGAGACCAGATCTAGCAACGCATACGAAGTCACACACAGCCTCAGTTTGAAACTGAGTCCCCATTCTACCAGAATTAGTATCTACCAGCACATCCCATGGTCACACCTTAACGTCTCATGCCTATCGAGATGCTACAGTACTTCCTCTCCGACACGGCTAACCTGACATATACACGTCCTCGTGTCTACCATAATCATTTCAGTTTCATTGCGACTTTATAATGTCATTGAATACTTCAGATAAATTTAACCAAATAATCTCAAATTTATATAATATGCCATAACATAGCTTTACTTCTATTCTTAACATGTCGTAGGTTATTTTAACATATCTTGGGTTATATTCTCTTATAAACCATTTTTTTCATTTACAATTCCAAGCAAGAGATCATTTAAACATTTTCAAATTATTCATTAATCAGTTCAAATCATCAATGCCGTGTTCTGACTGTCTCATACATTTGCACAAAACAAAATATAGTCTTTTTTACCCATTTTCGTCGGGTACAAAGTATAAATATGCATCGGAAAATTTTTTTTAGCCGCGAATATTTAGTAACTATTTGCTATTTTTCCTGAAATCCAAGTGGTTAACAGATTTGTATATGCCATCTTTAGTATTTCATCATTGTTGCTTTGGTTTTCGTAACCATGCTAATTGGTGGCGTTTTGGGCTACGTATTTCGTGAGCGTATGCAGCAAACAATGCGTCAGGTAAAATACTTAAATTTAGCATAAAATAATTTGATTTCCAGAATCGTAATAACTATTTATTCATCTAGGAAATGCGATCGACAATGGCGTTGTATGGCAGCCGGCGTGAGATTACACAGGCTTGGGACTTAACTCAGGAGCGATTGCAGTGCTGTGGCGTAGATACATGGCACGACTGGAATCGATATGGACCAGTGCCTGAGTCCTGCTGTCAGGAACTCTTTGGCGGACAACGCAAGGAATGCACTATCTTTCCGACTATCACGAATCTTTATAATCAAGGTTGCCTATATGTGGCGACGAACTTTATAAGAGATCATGCGGCAGTAATTGGAGGCACATCCATAGCGGTGGCTATACTCATGGTATACACTATCGACTGGTTTTCCTTACAGATTTTTATAATAAGTTTCCTTACAGATCTTTGGCATGATTTTCTCTTGTTTGTTATTTAACATGATTGAATAGCCTAACATAGAAAGGATGGCAAGGGCAACGCCATTTATAAATGTATTGCATAATGTTTACTTAAAGTATTATCCCAGTGTATGCTATATAAGACCTGTTACACAAAAGTCGTTGCTTTTGTACTATGTTTATCTTATATCCCGAATTAAGTGTATACTATCTTAATGTATGCTAAGTGGCTTGTCAATTTTTTGTGCCTGTTATCTGTTACATAATATTGAACCATCTTTGTTATATTTTGTTATGATTTAAGTCCCAAAAATACAAACGACAAAAATTGATTCAGTTATTAACTATTCCTATTGCTTATGAAGACTTAAAGAGCTGACCTATTATTTGTTGCCATATTTAATTTTCAATCTTTATTATTATACTTATATTGTAAGCTGCTTTGTTTTTAAAACAGACTTCTGTCTTCAGCTTCAAATAGAATAGTTCATATGGGTTGGGTTAACTAACTTTATTATTTACAGTTGACCATGACTATACAAATCGAAAACGATCTTTGAACTAACAGTCACAAATTCATTTTTAATAATTATACAAGTACTGTGGCGTGTAATTGCGTCATCTGATAGTTATCTACATTCGCTATTCACCTTGATGAGTAAGCTTTTTATTGACTCAAATTGCTTTATAATCAGTGTTACCACAAAAAAGCCCTCTGTTTTTCGATAAATTTTTCACTGTTCAATCATTGTAATCTTCTGTTTATTTTCTTAAGAAATTTAACTCGTTTTAAAAAATGTTATATTATAATAGTCTATTTATCATACACGTCGTCAGTTAGTCTTTAATTATTCCTCGGTAATAACTTCCAAATAATAACAGACACCATACTCGACACCAAATATAACTGATCAGATTAAATAAACGGCAATAGCCATAGGCGTAAGCGCACGGTTGATTCGATTCACCTTGTTTTTAATTGGTTGCTACCTTAATATACTCTTTGTTTAGATCACTTAATACTTTTGTACACAACACCATTTACTATATTTATCATCTATTCGACGCCTCATACTTCACTTTCCTCCACCAAAATCCGAACTTTTACTAACTATGCATCTATTATTTGCTCTGTTTATAAATATATTAATTCTTCGCCTCTATTTGTAAAAACTGCAATGAAGATTCCTAAGAAAACCCAAACTCATTCATCACTATGGCTATCACTACGGTAAACCTTAAGGCTTTCCATTGGTTATCACTGTACAGTGGTTAACTATACACTGTTAACTGTGTCCAATGCAGTATAATCTGGCATATACATATGCATATCATATACACGGATAAAACACATAAATATACATATATAGTGTAAAATGTGTGCAGAAATAGGGTCGGAAACTTCATGGCCAAGATGTCTAATCGGCGACTGTGAGAACGCCGCTTGACCAAATATTAGGCCTATGCAAATCGAACACAAGACAGCTTTGAGAGCCATTATGTATCAAAAAACATAACAGTCTGCCCTCTGTGCACATTGACATATACATATGAATGTACGCTTGCCTTCATAGCCGTCCTATAGGTTTAGGCAATTTATATTTTCTACAATAAAGGTATTTTCTCTAAGATGTAAGTCCTATAATTTGGATTACCTAATGTGGTGGGCCAATTCAATTGGCAAGTTGTCTCATTACATATTATTGTTTTTCATTAATAACATTTTTGATACAAATTCCGAAGTATAGTCCTACACAGTTAGCTAGCAGTACTAATGTCTGTCAATGTTGTTTTATTCTTTAATGAAATTACCAAAGGACCTGATGATAGTTTTTTACTCTTTGGATAAAATGTCAACCAGCCTGCCATTGTTCTCTTAGATTACAAAATCCGTTATATTCTCAACAATTAGTTTCATAAGTTGCTTTACAGTCGTTACCGTTAAATTATTTATTTTCTTGGTAAGTCCTATTTGGTCCTTTCTTTTCCTAACTTCCTGGATGGTTTAAATTTAAAATTGTTCTGTCCTGAGCTTGAATTATGGAGCTCAAAATTACCATATACCATATACCACTATCCATATTACATCAGCTATGAATCCATTAAATATCTAGTAACTACGCGTAAATATCGTGTGTCCTTCTCAATGCTGTTTCTCTGTCTGGTTACTGAAAATCTTTTTGATTAGCCTTTTTAGTCGAACGTTTTCTTTGAGTTTGCATTACGATTTCTATAAAACTAAAGATACCGTTAAACCGTTACTGGCTGCTTCAATTATAAATTAAATATTTTTTAAACTTTATATCACGACAGGATGAACATTTTCGAGTTTTGAAAATCTACAATACAGTTCTTCTTTGTGCCCGAATCGTCTGTAATTTTGTATGAGTTCTAGTTTAAGGTTACCTTCCTATATATGAGACCACTGTCACATACACAAAATTTAGTTTTGCACTAGAATTTGGTCTGTATATGCAACTGCAAAGTTTGTCAGCTTATTACAATTATTGTTACACAATATTTGTGATTTTTATTTACGAAAGACATGTTCCAGAGTGTGCCGTGTATCGCTCAGCTAATGCAGGTAAGTGCAATGCTTCTAGGTAAGTTGCTGGATAAGTTAAACGTCGGATTACCTCAGCTCCGGTTATAAAGTTGTTAGAAAATAATAAGAATTAGAATTTGAATTTTTATACCCTGAACCCATTAAAAATGGGTAAAAAGGGTATATTGTATTTGTGCAAATTTCAAATGTATGTAACAGGCAGAAGGAAGCATCTCTGACCCCATAAAGTATATATATTCTTGATCAGCATCAATAGCCGATCTAGCCATGTCTGTCTGTCTGTCTGTCCGTCTGTCCGTATATATGAACGCAAGAATCTCAGAACCTATACGAGCTAGAGACTTGAAATTTTAGATGTAGGTGCTCCTAGTGCCTGTGCAGATCGCAGCAATCGTTTCCAAGCAATCGATAAAAATCGATGTCGATATCATGTTTTTTGGGCAATTTTGGTAAATAATTAGAGCTAGAGTCACCATGAAGGAGCTCCCGACTAGAACCTGTTACTTATTTTATCATGAATAATTAATTATTGGTGTGGATGCTGAGTAGAGGCATAGCAAGTGGTGCGGTCTGTCGCGTGTTCGAGCCCTACCGGGGAAAGTATTTTTCCTTTTTGCTGGTGTGGATGTTGAGTAGAGTCGACAGCAAGTAATGCCGTGAGTTGCGATTTCGAACCCTACCAAGGGAACTTTTTTTTAAATTTATTTGGTGTTGGAATAAGAGGGTTCAGGGTATTCGCTAGTCGGGAGCTCCCGACTAGGACCTCCTGCTTGTTTCAATTCACTTCGTTTATTGTTATTATAGCTTTCGGAATAAAGGCCCTTCCAAATTACTCGATGCGAGGTAACGAGGTTGCAAAACACAACATCCGATTGCCGCAGCTACTTCTGCCGTTGCCCAAAATTCAAAGACAGCTTCAGCAAATTTTCTATTAGAAGAGATAACAAAATAAAAAATCGACTTGACAATGATTGAGAAATAGACAACATCCGGTTCAGTCCTCGCTATCCCTCTTTGTTTTGGGCTTCTGCCCCTTTAACTCATTCATTATTTTTTCTATGCATTACTATACCTGTGATTTGCAGTCACAAAATTATGTCTTCTTCTTCTCCACTCGATGCCCACTTGCAAGGAGCCCGGCAGATTTTGATAATTTTTCATTTTTGGAACAGTAAAGCGCCCTTTCTCAAAATAGGATACATATTTTACTTTTGATCACTATTGTAACCAAAGAGCATTAACCTTCTAATATAACAATTTTCTTTGATTGTCAGTAAAATATATATTGTATTAATTGTGCATCTATTGGTACAATCATTAATTATTGTTTCCCTTAAACATTATATACTATTACTGTAGATACATACGTGTACCTATGCCTCGAGACGACAGTTTGATGTTGGCAAATATGTCTCAATATATATATATATAAACTAATTACTTAAGAATTATTCGTAAAAGGTGAATAACTTAAAACTAATTGTTGGTAGGGTATCATATATTTCTATACATTTGCAGAGGGTATTATAATTTTGTCGTTAAATGTGTAACGCATAGAAGGAGACATCTCCGACCCCATAAAGTATATGTCGGAGAATTAATGTCATCTACCTGCGGGTCGTCATTATTGGTCGCTTGGTCGCACGAATCTGGTGTTCCATACTCAGTCCTGGCGAATGCAGCGAGTCTTCGTTGCCTTTGTTGCTCATTATTCTCTTAAATACGCACACGTGACCAACTCACGTTACGCCGGAAACACAGGACAGCCACAAGAGAGAGACCAGATCTAGCAACGCATACGAAGTCACACACAGCCTCAGTTTGAAACTGAGTCCCCATTCTACCAGAATTAGTATCTACCAGCACATGCCATGGTCACAACTTAACGTCTCATGCCTATCGAGATGCTACAGTACTTCCTCTCCGACACGGCCAACCTGACATATACACGTCCTCGTGTCTACCATAATCATTTCAGTTTCATTCCAACTTTATAATTTCATTGAATACTTCAGAAAAACTTAACCAAATAATCTCAAATTCATATAATATGCCATAACATAGCTTTACTTCTATTCTTAACATGTCGTAGGTTATTTTAACATATCTTGGGTTATACTCTCTTATAAACCATTTTTTACATTTACAATTCCAAGCAAGAGATCATTTAAACATTTTCAAATTATTCATTAATCAGTTCAAATCATCAATTCGTAATCCAAAATACATAACTAGGCTTTTATTGGCCAACTATTAAATTCATCGCCAAACACACTGACTTCACGAATTCATTAACCACATTGCTCGTCCATCGCCCAACACTTGGCTTCACGAATTCATCAACCACATTGCTCGTTCATCGCCCAATGCTTGGCTTCACGAATTCATCAACCACATTTCTAAGGCAACCCTCGTCCATCGTCAATCACATAACTTCACGAACAATATTTTGTATCAACAGATATTTCCAACCGACTATGTTCTTTACAATGTACATTAAGCTCTTCTGGAATTTGCACATCCGGTAACTTCCGCAAACTTTCGTGTGTATATTTTTAACGTCTATTGTTCTGTGTAGACTTTAAAACGTATCGGTCTCCGTCCAATACCTTGACCACCAAAAAAGGGCCTTTGAACTTTGGATCTAATTTCGTTTGCTGTCTCTCACTGTTTTTAAGCAAAACAAAGTCACCCACACAGAACCTAATTAGCTTAGCCATATTTTTATCAAACTCCGCGGCCAACTCCCTTAATTTAATCTTGTCAATTTCAGTTTCAATG